ACACCCACCATGGGACCCTATTCCTCCCACTGACACCAACGATGGGACACTATTTCTCCCACTGACACCAACAATGGGACACTATTCCCCACACTGACACCAACAATGGGACACTATTCCCCACACTGACACCAACAATGGGACACTATTCCCCCCACTGACACCAACAATGGGACACTATTCTTCCCACTGATACCAACGATGGGACACTATTACTCCCACTGACACCAACGATGGGACACTATTCCTCCCACTGACACCAATGATGAGGCACTATTTTCCCACTGATACCAAGGATGGGGTACTATACCTCCCACTGACACCAACGATGGTTCTGTCAACTGCCCAACCACACACGCTGCACATTAGGGAGTGGGACGTGGTGTCAAAGGTAAGGCACTTGACTATAGTGGTAAATGTCAGACTTTGAAGGACTGCTAAAAGCTCCAGTGCCAACCTCATATAGGCCTGAGTAAGGTAAATAATGGGGGAAATATGCATGTTTCAGCAAGATTGCACAATTATTTAATGTAAAACTGAATATTCAGATTCTTGTATTAGACTATTTCTGACTGGTGACTGGTCCACAGACGCGTACTATTCATAGATGCTGCATATCTATTGAAAAAAGTCACGCCATCACAACAAAGTATTAAACTGGTTACCCATCAGAGCCACCAACCTCTACAGTCGTTCCCAAAATTCCTTTGAATTGTCAACATTGACCCAATAAGGCTCTAAAACCAAATACTCAACTCTGATCTTCCTAAATTCAGTGTTGTTTTCCCTCTTCATTTCATGGAACTACAGTCCATCATCTAGCCTTCTATAGAACATCCACAATTGAGAGGTAACTTTCCCTTGAAACAACGATCCTGAGTAGTTTAGGATTAAGCCTCAGACAATAGCGCTCCAGTCTTCCAAGACCTTTATAGATCAGCACACCGCCACTCGATAAATGCCAGACAATTGTAGTTCATATTTGAGATTGTGGGAGCTTTAAAAATCAGATTCAAACATCCTTGTTTGGGGTTCCAATTCCAGGGTTGCACGATCTGTGATGTCTTCTACAGAGATTCAAAAAGGCTTTTCAGGAGACATACATATGAGTTGTACCAGGAATCATCAGTCTCATATGTATTTCCTGCCTCTTATAACTGGACGACCTGCCGTTTCCTCACTTCATTCTGCTGAACCATCTCCATCAACACCTTTGCTTCGTACAACGGAATCACCTCATCCAACTGAGGCCTGGTAGAGAGACAAATGGACACAACAGTTCAGTATCATATTGGCAACCTTCTTCCATTCATTGACTAGCAACAGTTCAGAACCAGGTCTTTGCTGCCCACTAGGGCAGCCACTCGAGATGAAATGTCATACACCTTTAATTGTATCCAGCAATAGGTTTTTTTGTCTATAGTCAATAAGCAAAAATATGTCTTACCGAAATATTCCACATGATAGTTTGTCCATGATGTCTTTTAGGATATGTGAAGAAAGTGTTAAGGGTGTATTCATTAAGAAACAGGCTGATGCTAAAATACACTTTAGTAGGGATTTATTCAACGAGTCTCTCAATACATTGCAATAAAAAGTAAAGAAAATTAAGTATTTTAAATGCTTACTGGCAGTGTTTTGACTTTCCATAAACTTTTTTTTTTTTTTTTTCATTTGCAATGGGCCTTTGGACTTGCTAGCAAATTTGACTTCTTCGGGAGTTCCTTTACCTCTCTCCTCACCAACCTACATAAACTTTTATATATCAGCCAAGGGAGGAGCAAAGGGCTGCTGACATCACTTCCAAGATGGGGGGGCCCATCAGCAGTCTCGGGGCATTTGTATGCCTACACAAGGCTTTTACAGGTAATAATATGCATAAAATACCTTTAATGCACATATAATATTATTGGAAGATTGTTGTGGAAATGAATGGTCTTGCAACAGGGTTTCTTTAACAATGAACTCCAGGCAGATAGTTTAGGCTGGGTTCACACCTGGGCGTTTCTATAGGTGCGTTTTATGCTCGTTTTTTTAAGCACGTTTTTAGCACGTTTTTTTGTTCAATGAAACGTGCGTTCGACGCTCGTTTTTTAACCTTCCTGGCAGTATTTCTTTTTTTTCCCCCTTTTTTTTAAACTTCCTGCCGGTTCAGCCCCCCTGCGACGCGGACACTTGCAAGGGACGGAACCCGGAAGACGGCAGCGGCTGGAGGACACAGCAGGGATCGCGGACAAGGTAAGCCCCACGCTGTATTCCCGCTTTGTTAACCCCGAGCCACACTCGGGAATACCAATGGATACGCGCGGAAATCCTACCAAAAAAATTTGTGACCATTCAAGTCTGAATTTGAGAGCTTATTCACACCACTGTGCTGTAGTAATGCATGTAAGGTGAGTTGCAGTGCCATTCACTGTAAGTAGCACCCCAACTCACCTATGTTGCACTTCTGAGCATTGTGGTGCAAATGCAGCAGGTCCAACTTCTGGTTTATTGCGGTGCATTTGGGGGTTTATTAGTGTTCTGTAATCTCATTCAATAAAAAGTCCAGCTTTTAGCAGCAGGAGAAAGCTGGCCAGCAAAAGCTTGTTACTGTGAATTAGTGCACAACATTCATAGCCCGATCAGAAAAGGATATGCAGATATTTTCCTTGGTGCGCATTGGACAGGTTCCAAATTTCGTCATTGAGAAAAGAAAGTGACGCCCCCTTCAGGAACAGGCTATGGCTGTCAGGTGGGTCCAGCTGCAATACATAGATCATTGAAAGACTAATTAACCTTTTTGCTATGAATAAACACACTCTAAAGAATGCATGAACACACACATACATAGAGATTCAATAACAGAGACGTTCTGCTTGAAAGGAGATTGGAGATCAGGCTACATGACACTGACACAGTAGTTTTAAGCTACTGCACTCAATAGCCCTCAGCAGAATCAGATGTCCATTCCTAGCTGAAGAGGGGTTCTGCAGAAATGGGCCATTTTGCCCAAAACTACACCTTGTTTCCCTATCTACAGCTTGGAACAAAAGAAAACCGGAATATGAAAACCAAAATTAGTCCCACTCAGTTGTGCAGCAGTTTTCTTCAGGGTGAAGGCAGTTGGGTTATGATTAGTTTTTGGATACAGAGGCCGGGGGGGTTTAATGCCCAACACCAGGGAAACTAAAAGTGCTCCCCTGCAGTGGGGCTACCCCCGCTAATTGCTCATTTATGGCTGGGGACAGGAAAAAGCTGTTTTATTAACCTGATCCCTGCACCCAATGGCTCCCTCAGGGCTGCTAGACTGGTTCCCATAGCCTCCTTTCCCCTTCCCTCTGGTGGTCTAAGGACAGCTGACATCATTAGGTACAATGCAGGCTCCCAAGTGAGTGACAGTCCAAAGCAGGAGGGGAGGGGTAGAAGAGGTGAGCACGGACTTCAAGGTAAGTAAAACAGCTTTTTTCTGTCCTCTAGGCATAAAAAGCAGTTATTCCTTGCAGTGCAAGGGCAGCTGAAAGGGACAATGTTTCATTTCCCTGGAGTTGGCCTTTAATCAGTTACAAACATTGGGCGGGCGTGCTAAACTCCCAAGAAAATCCTAAAGGATAACTATGGGGAGAGTGAAATGCAGTCATCCCCAAAGTTAGAGCCGATGGGTGACACTATGTCACCCATCGGCTCTATAGATCGAGAACTGAGTGATCACAAACCGCTTATTGCTCAGTTCACAATCTTCTCCCTGCAGAGAGCGCTGGCTGTCAGTGACCACTCCATGCAGAAATCCCCCCCCCCACCTCTCTGTTCCTCCACCGCTGATTGGAGGGACAGACATGGGAGAGGGTGAGCGCAGCTGGCTCTAGAGAGGCAGAGCCAGCAGTCAATCATGTAGCGGGGTGGATCCTGACAATGTTGTCAGGATCTTTCCCGGCTGCATTGAAGCTCTGCACTGTCATATAGTGGCCAATAGCTGAGTTTTGGGTCACAGGAGGACATTAGTAAACCATTTCCTGTGACCCAAAAGAGAGCTAAGGCTGTGATGGTCAAAAGTTTTGGCCACAGTTCTCTTTTAATCTAAATACCTTTGGCATGTGTAGTGCCCATCCTCCTCCCTGCAGCTCTCTGACAGCATTTATGGGCAATTCCCAGCTGTCGTTTTGGCAGCTTGGGCTTGTTTTATTGAGGCATGAGCAGATCTTTCTGTTCCTGTTTAAACTGATGCTCACCAAACAGCATCTGCTGTGTCAAGAAGCAATACAATGTAGCAATGTTATTACTGCTTCATTGTAACTTCTCTGGTTAGTTTACAGAAGATCAAAGGGGTGACCTTTCATTTAGCATGTTATGCCATTTAAAGCAACACAGCAGAAATTACAGAATAAAATGTGCACTTTTTTTGACAGGATCCTCAGTCCTGCAGTGGTCAGTGCTCACCTCTGTTTCCCTACCCCCCGCTCTGGCAGTGGTATGTCACTTTGCATCCTTGTGTCTAATTGCAGTTTCTTTATTTTACATAGTAGGTAAGGTTGAATATAGATACAGGTCCATCGACTTCAACCTATGTGGTTTTGTGTGTGTGTGTTTGAGTTACTAAGATTACCTGTACTCCTGTATATCTAGCGCGCTGAGAAAAACATCTAGACAGGCCCCTAGACCAAAACGAGCACTTAACCCTTGCGATTCAGGGGTAGCCGCACTGCAAGGGTAAATTTTTACATTTCCTGGAGTTCTTCTTTAAAGACTTGTGAATTGAGTCTATATGGTTTTATGTTGTTTTCATCGTAAAGGAAGGAATGCAAGCTGGTAATGGTTTCCATCAGTATTTGTCCTAAAATCCGGGTACCTGCAGGTTGTCTTCTCTTGTCACCCAGTGTCCTCCAACAGACAGGAGTGTGATGATGTCATGTTTGTGAGGCTGGAATTTTGGTTTTGTAACATGGTCCTCTGTATTGTAAAAGATCACTGGGAACATGAAAGGAACAGGTAAAAGATCAATCAATCAATCACTTACAGCTTATTTATGATACCATTGGCACTGCAACGACTGGCAGTAAATTCAGTATGTATGTACCCAGCATGAAAGATTATGTACCTTTTTGCCCAATTTAATTTTTTTTTAACATGATGCTTGCTGCAAGTCTGTGCCAAAGGACTAACTCAAATAATTCACAAGTATGTGTAATCTGATCCAGGGGCGTCCCGAGGCTGGGTGACACCCGGAGCGGTGTCTGAGTGTCACCCCGCCGAGACGTCACCGCGCGTGTGCGCGCGATGACGTCATCGCGCACTCGCAGCAGTATTCTGATACCTGCCGGCGGCCATCTTGGTGATGGACGCCGGCAGAGAGAGTAGGAGACAGCCACCCGGCTGGATAAGGTATGCCGCCTGGTCACCTCCTCTCTCCTGATACTGTCGGGCGTTCGGTCCATGACCAAGCGCCCGACTTTTCAGAGGGGGGTGACACCAAGTCATTTTGGTGTCACCCCCTCCAATGGTGTCACCTGGGTGCAAGCCGCACCCCCCTTGTGACGCCACTGATCTGATCTCTCCTATTCAGCCATGTTTCTCAACAGTGCTGTATCTAAGCCTCCAAAATTGATCTTTAGAATGGAGCTCCACACCTGTTGTCTGTCATTAATGAATATGAAGTATACACACACTGTAACATATTTATTAAATAATAATAATTTAAAAAAAAAAATAACCTCCAGCATCGAGAACAATGTCAACTCCAAGGCCTCCAGTCTCTTCCAAGCATTTCTCTGCCAGGTCAATGTTACTTTTAGACATGTCTATAACACGAGCTGGGGGGAATAAAACAATGAGTGAAGTTATCGAAATTGTACATAAATTAAATTATAATAATTATAATAATACTTCAAGCCTGAATTTGCCTGTAGCTCTGCTTTTGTGGAAATACAATATTTGTAGACATGTAAAACAACAGTACTTCTATAACAGAGATTAATAGGGAGATTATCAGGCTTTTTAGGTGTTTATTCAGAGGGTGAACATAAGCACTTCTGATATTCAGAATTGTCTGTTATTGTAAAACAGTCAGTCATTTTTTCTTCTGTGGATCGGTAAAAATTCACTATTTTCACTGTTCAGACAAGTTGGAGGGAAGGTTGCTGTGGGTCCTAGAGCTGCAGAGATGAGAACAAATAATTGGTAGACATCTCACAGCCCATCACTCTGCCCATCTACTGCCAGACTAAGACCAGCCACTGTCATCATGTTGGTATGATTTGTATAGAAAGGCCTTTCTATGATAAAAATGCTAGATCTACCTCTGAGGAAACAATAGTGGTTAGTCAAAAATATCTATCGCAACTGACCATTCCTTCCCCTTAGAGAGGTTGGGCTGGGAGTTCTCGGTGCAGTCAGAAGACTGGAGGAAAACAATAATTTATTCGAGGATTTGAAAGAAAAATATCCTATGCTACTTATTTCAACCAATTAGATTCTTCCTTCCATTTTTTTAAGTTAGGTCCGGTGAAGTGTAAAAAGGAAAATGCCACTGCTGCTAACAGCAACTAATCATAAGATATAGGGATGCACCGATACCGGTATTTTGTTACCGAGTACGAGTACCAATATTTTTTTTCGAGTACTCGCACATACCGAATACCGAGTACCGGAAGTCCCATTCAGGAAGCCAGGCGGCGTATAATGACTCGCCACCTGGCTTCCTGATTAGCCCAAAAGCCGGGCAGCGTGTAAAGACTCGCCTTAATGACGTGGGAGCATGGAGCCGGCTTCCCGGCCAATCAGGAAGCCGAGCAGCATGTAATGACGTGCTGCCCGCCTTCCTGATACAGGAAGTACCGGGCTAGGCATCGGAGCATTTGGCACCGATACTAATAAGATACATTTTAAACTTATGATCTGTATGTCATTAGACATAAGCTGGAGCTTTTGCTAAAGGTAATAACATCTGGACTGTCAGGGTGGTAATAAGTGATTGTGGATATCACAAAGCTATGTGTTTGATGCAGGGGATGGCAAAGCAAGCACTTCTAATAAATGTGGAGCTGAACTGGTTCACCTGCAATATGACACGTATAAGAGGATGTTGAAAAGATAGCCAATACAGACTCACAATAGCAACATAGAAAGGATTTGAAGGCAGTGCATAGCATAAGAAGCTAAAGGTTGGCCTGAAGCCAAACTTAGCTTTACCATGACTATTCACTTCTAGAGCCTTTAAATTAGTGTGATCATTTCACCCATTGCTGGTCACAAAGAATCAACCTGGATTGGACAGACTGGCTCCTGAATTCTATATTGATTTGAGCACCCCTGATTTAACCTATGCGCTCCACTCTCTGAGCCCAACTGGTCTATGCTATATTTAACCTGTTCTCCCCACCTTGGAGGTACACCCCCAACTATCCTATCCCCTTACCTCCCCTTTATATTTCTTTCTTTCCTGGGTTGCCCCACTCACCTTCCCCTCACCTATGTTACTCCCTTGTTCTTTCATTTTTCTTTTAAATTGGAGGATTTCTTAGTTGGTCAGGACCACGCCACCTTGAGGCACCTTCCATGATCTAATCTAACTGCCCTCTTGCACCTTTCTCACTTCCTCCTGGTTACCATGTAGTTGTTGTATGTTGTAATGCAGCCCCTGCACAGACAATATTGGCTGTTATGTTTTATCCCTGAAAATAATAGAAACATTGAAACAGAAATATCTCTACACTCAGAGTGTCCCTAGTCTATTATTGGAGATAACCAGAGTTTCCAGTCACTTTGAAATTGTACAGAGAACCTCCAATTGCCAGCTACACGGACATGTCTAATAGGTAAGAAATATGTTTTAAAACATATTTTAGGTAAGCTGTGTGAATAGGAACACTAAAACATATAGTGTGGGCTTTCTCAAATTTGTGGAACTACACTTTAGGTCAGAGGTCAATGCAGGTGACAAGTGAATTCAGAGAGGCAGGCAAAAGCTCAGGGCAGACAACAAGTCAGGGTGGGCAGCAGACACAGCACAGTCAGAGGCAGGCAACAGAGAAAAGAGCAGAAAAAACAGAATCCAGGTCGGGTAATATTTAGAAACAATCAATCTGAAACTAATCAGAAGACAAGCTACTTTCAAACCAAGAGCAGCAGATCAGGAGTAGTAGGCTCGGGCGTGTTCGCAGCTCCATGTGCCGAGCCCGCTAGGAAGCCGACAGCGTGCAGCGCCAATCACAGGCACTGAGACATTTCCCGATCTCTGCAGCTGCGGACCGGGAACATGTCTCAGTACATGTGATTGGCGCTGCGCGCTGTCAGCTTCCTGGCGGGCTCGGCATGTGGAGCTGCGAACACGCTTGAGCCCATCACTAATCAGGAGTAGACACCAGAGACAAGCCAGGTCATAACCAAAGCAGCACATCAGAGAAATAACAAGAATAATTTCTAAATGAACAGCCTTTGTTCAGGCACTTAATCGGTGCAATGTGACAGGTTTATACCTGGAATTAAACCAATGTGCTATAGCAGTATTTGAATCTGGGGGCAGATGGTGAGGCAGAGCACCTACCTGCAGAGCATCTCCATGAACCAGGAAGTAGACAGGAGAAGGAGGAAGTAGAAAAATAAATTGCCTGCAGACTGCTGGCAGCTTGTTACAATTTTAGCATAGCTACATATAATGAAACTACTTAATTAATGTAACACAAAGCAACTCATTTATAAGCAATCTGTTAAAGAAAGACTTACCTATGACAGGCTGCCGTACCCCTTAGAGAACATAAGCATGAAGAGAAAAAAGAAAGTTATAAACAAAAAAGTATGGGTTTATCAGAGCTGCAAGTGGCACATTTTTAAGACCCATGAACAGATCAGGACTGCTAATCACATCCAGTTCAATATTACCATTTTGTTGAGTGATTTACTTTGTACTATTTTTTTTTCTTCAGATCTCACCTACACCAGGTCTAAGCTTATCCAGGTACTGCTTGTCTTCTTCACTGTTGGCCGTTGCGATCACTGTGGCTCCTCCATGATGGGAGAGCTGGATGGCCAGTGTGCCGAAGGGCTATGTGGAAAAAGCAAGATGTTAATTTCTTTATACAGTCTTTAGTTCTTCCCAACTTTACTTAAAGTGTTCTTAAACCTTTCATATAAAAAAATAACATAGCGCTACAGACCTCAGCACTAACCTTGCACTAATTTTTTTAGCTTGTGGTTGCTTGGAATTTATGGTCTGCAAAATTCCCTTTTCTTGGTACATATCTTCAGGTGTCTCCATCCCTTTGCACGGACTCATAGAGACACTGCTGCGTGTGCGCTCCCAGCAGGCAGTGTGGAGTCTTTTTTTGCGTCTGCACACATACCTAGCGCCAGCGGCAAGCCACTACCCCTCCCCTTCTCTGCCCTGTGGGTGCCTGACAGCAGCTGGAGCATGCACTGTCTCTATGCATCTGAAGCACAGTGGGAGGGCGCACCACAACCCGGAGGTCCGGGGAAGTGGCACCTGGAGCCAGGATCGGTCATAAGGGAACATAGTAAGTTTGGCCACATTGAAGACACTGGGACATGTAAACCCATTGGGGCATATTTTGCCTTTAGGCTAGGTTCACACCTGCACTACACCGCACGACACACGGGACGCGCATCCCGGGTGTCGTGCGTTCCTGCACAATTCAATGATTTCAATGAGGTGACATTTGTGCGGCAATCGCAGAAAAAAGGTACAAGTACCTTCTTCTTGCAATACACGACGCGCGGCTATTTTAGTGTTCGGAAGCCTGGGCGGAATCGCGACGGGTAATCGGTTCACATTTTGGCAATTCCTAATGCCAAAATTGCCGCGCGTTGAGGTGTCGCCTAGGTGTGAACTTAGCCTCACACTGAGAATGCATAAGGGCCGGTGCACACCTAGGCGATTTATCGCGTGGTTTGAAGTCAATAGAGGCTGTTCACACCCTTGTGGTTTGTCGCGCGAACGAAATCGGATGTCGTGCGAAAAGGTGCAGGACATCTCTATGCATTGAAAAACGTGCGACAACCGCACGGTTTACACTGAACAGTCGCGCGATAGAAAACGCGCAACAACTGTGCGAAAACAGCTCAGCATCTGAATTGCCTAGGTGTGAACTTAGCCTTAAGGTTAAAAATTCCTAGTATTTAGTATTACTTTATTGGCCCTGTTATCTCTGCTAAACAAGATAAGCTAAACCTGACCTGCTGAGGTCAAGCTGCACTTTGCTAATGTAAATGTATACAGGCACTATGATTTGCCATTGTGCAGTAGCTGGATGATGTGCAGAATAAAGGATGTCACCAGATATTAATGTTCCCTACTTCAGGTAGATACAGTAGATGCAGAGGGACTGAATCACTCACTGGCTTCTTATAACACACAGGTAGTGGTGTTTTCGACTCTGACCTGCCCCTTCACAGAGTATTGTTACCCTGGGGTATCTTCTGTAAGTATAAGAATCAAAGAATATAGTTGATAAGAGTGAGTTGCCTGGTCTGGGTCACATGACTTCCTTTCTGATTAGCCATCACTTGGATTGAGTCATACTTCTTTGTTGGAGCTGATCAAATTGATATCTATGATCTAGCATTGATATAAAAAGGTATTTCCTGCCTCCTGAAAGGGACAATACATGTGGCTTTGTGACAAGTCAGATGAGCATCATCAAACAAACAGGCTCTTGGAGCAGTGACACTGATGAATGAATGTGTGCCTGAGGGTCGTTATCCCATGGGACAGTCCAAGATCCCTGCTGGTATTTACTTCCGACCCTTGTTTAGGATTGCAGCATGGGGCCATATTAACAAACTTTCTTCTTGTATATTCTGCATAAGCCCAACTCACAAGCAGGAACATTGGTGACCTTCCATGACCTCTTGGACAAGTCTTTCTGGACTCTACAGGCAAGAATGTGTTTCACTGGGACCCGCTTGTTGGGAGTGTTCCAAGCAGTGGCGTAACCAGAGTTATGGGCGCCCGGGGCAGACATTTTTTTTCGCCCCCCCCCATATTATATAAACATCCACTAGAACTGTACCCCCCACACCCACACATATATATCAGCTAAGGAACTACAAGTCCAAGCATGCCATCATTGTCCCTGTACACCCCCCCACACACACATATCACCCAGGGAACGGCAATATCTGGTTGTTGTACAGGGGCAATGAGGGCATGCTGGGACTTGTAGTTCCCTAGCTGATATCTTATGAAGCTGTATTCCACCTGAAAGCACTACAATTACATTATAGAACTAAGAATAGAGCATAAAATAAAACTTTTTTTTTCTCTAATACTCACATGATTTCTGGATCCACCAACAAGCGCAGCCTCCCGTCTGCCACGCTGTTAGAAGTTGCATACAGCGTGTGCTGGTTACTACTTAAACTGGTGAGCGCAGTGTGCAGCGTCTGAGAAGATACGCTATTAGCATAGCGGGGATGGAGAGAAAAAAAAGCACTGGCATGTGTGAATGAGTGAGAGTGATGGTGCTACCAAAATGATAGAGACCCCGATTCCTAACCCCATCCAAGTTCCCTCTCCATTTCCTTTTATTGCAATTATAATTTATGTATATCCCTATTTGTAAATAAACCTAACCTTTATTTAAGATTCAGTTGTCTGTCATTAAATCAGGGTACCCCAAAACAGCACATTTAGCATTCCACTTATTTGGTGGCCTTTTAAAGTGTATGTGGACCCAAATTCTTTTTCCGAGTATGCTTGGCATCATGCCTCACAATTTTATAAGCAAATGTTTTTTTTGTGAAACTGTTGCAAAGTTTCTTACCTGGGGATTCTACTAGTAACAGCACTTGCTTTTGTAGGCGGACCACACTAAGCCGATGGATCACAATGAGCAGCAACGTTGTCAGACCGCCATGTACACTCCATTAGGTTGTCTATAGGATAGGCAGCCTAATGGCCAACTGAAGGAGGGTGCATGGTAGGCTGACAATGTGGCTGACAAGGCAGTGGCTTACCGGGGTCAGCCTACAGGATGACTACAGCAGTACATGCTCCCTTCAGTACATTCAATAAATCTGTGATGTGTTGTTTAGAAGATTTGAATTACATACACTTGCTCCGTCCAGTACCAGAACAGATCTCCCAGGTGCCAGGTGTGCCAGTGAATGCAGGGCTGTATACACACACAGTCCATCCCGTACGCTGCCTGCAGCCTCCACCCAGCTCACTTTCTCTGGTTTGTGAACTGACAATACAAATGGACATAGCTTATGGTTAATTATTAAGAAGAAGCTTCTTCTCTGTCCATACATAACAATGACTTGTAACAGATGTAGGCTCATTGCGTTGTTAACACCCGAAGTGTACGGGACGGTTCAATATTTGTGTAAATGTCTAACAATTTATAATAATAAGATCAATATCTTATCCAGCTGATTAACTGAAACACAAATTATTTGGTATAGGCATTTTGGATGACAGCTGGCCATACGCAGATTTTCTAATGGGTCAGTGGGGTCTACTCAACTTTATAGATAAAACTGTAGTATGTTTTCAGGGAGTACACTGCATAATTTATCATTATAACACGGGTGTGGAAATAAAAATAAAAAAAACTGGTCCCCCATGACAATCTACTTATCATGATACAAAAAATAATTTTAAGCAAAACGTATTTAACCCTGCTAAGCGCTTCTCATGACCACACTGACCAATGAGTGCTTGCACACACATTATCCTATGTGTGCATTTATTAGCATGCAGATGGTGGGGGTCGGAAAGGATAGTTTACCATTGTTTTTAATGTTTATTTATTTTATAATTTATTTTTTTAATCACTTTTTTTTCCACTTAACTTTATTATTATCACACAGGGGAGAACAAGCCCATATGTGATGGCGTTTGAGGGTGACAGTTTCTCTCTATGGAGCCTGCCCTCCACTACAGAAGATCGAGTACAACATTTTTAATGTTTTGTTTCAAAACTGAATATGTAATAATAAAATTAATTTATAACAGACTGTGTTGGTTTAAAAAGCCCCCATTTTCTACTGATAGGAAAAGGTTTCTATATATTTTTTGTTCAAGTTTAAGAGAGGGGTGTAGCCGACCAGACCTTCCTCCGCTGATCACTTTGGCTGTTTAATATATTAGTATATATTATATTTGGTTGCTCAGTGTTGTAGATATACTGTATAAGGTTCAATGAACCAACAAGTTCATAAGTTCAGTTCCGTAATGAAATCTATAATGTCTTCACTGAATGAAACTTATCTCAAACAGAACACAGGCAGAGCTTTGTATATGAGAAGCCTTCCAGATCTGTATTACATTGTTCCAGTAGACAGGATGTGCAGTATGTCACTCTGCCGAGCACCAATTATGTATCTGTACTTTACATGGGAAAAACTAAGATGACCCCGTGCAGAATGTCCAGGAAAGCTAGAACAGGACAGAGATGTGAAAAAGGAAGTACAGGGTGTAACCGCAGCACTAGATAAACATGACATGGACACAACACCACATACAGGAAGGATGGTGTTCTGTTATTACTCAGAATAAGCAATGTAATGCTGTACTGTAATAATAATAATGAACATTAACATATATCATCCTCGATACACATTAAATCACCCTTTTTGGGGGCTGAGCTACCTGCTAATGAGAACTGAGATATGACTGTCAGTTCCTCTCTGGTGGACCTTTATAAGTATACGGTGTGGCCCTATCTACCCTAAGATTCTGCTCCACATGCCACAATTAAGCTAGTACTGGCCGAGGTGGCAAGTTAAAGTTGTTGGAGGACAACTGGCAGCTGGAAGAAGTAGAGTGCCTTGTTTAATATAGACAGCAGGAAGCCCAAGAGAGTGGTGGCAATGGGGCAGCCACAAAAGGTTAGAGCTGCTAAGCCTTTGGAGCTCTTAGTCCTACACCTACCATGCAAGATTGCTGGCATGGAGGCTGCTGGCAATAGCAAATGGGACAGTGCTCCTATGGGAGCTGAGCCTCCGGACAGTCAGTGTTTGTTTGACAGAAAAAGGGCCCCATACCTTATACAGCTGTGGAGGAAAATCACTACAAAAGAACTGACTAAGGCTTTCCATACATTGATATTTTTTTTCTTGTCCATCCCAGCACGCTGAACAAAAACAAAAAACACCTGACTCCCCCATTCACGCTGATTAGCCCCATTACCGGCTATGGTATGGTTGGCTGATTGACTGCAGGCACTGTTTGGCCAAGATCTTTCATACCGGCTCCTTTGACAATAGTAGCAGGGGGTTAGCTGAAATTCGACCAATGTACTGCCAACTTAACACTGACTCTGAAATAACTAAGGAACCTTTTAGATGTGGATCACGCAATAGAGACCTACAAATCTGCAATAATTCATGGATTTGGAGACATAAAAAATTATATCTTCCATAGCAGGTATGATATACAAAAGACAGACAGTGAAAAGGTAGATAAACACGGATTTGGTGAGAGTGCATTACAGCCAGGCATTTAGCATTTTCAGAAGTAGAACAGTGATGACAGCTCCTGCATTGCTCCGAGTACAGGTTTCCTTAATGCCAATTTGCACATTCTTCACTTATCTGATGATCGCTGCACCATTACTATCTGCCAGTGAACAGAAAATACTCCGGTACTGTCAGAGAGGCAGTGTTCTCTTTGGAGGACCTTCCTGTCTTACATGATTGCTGCCATGAAATGAATGACCCTAGCGTTCGGTTTATGTGGAAGACGTGAAGTCAGAGCACCAATATAAGAAAACACAATCAGCACTCACCTAAATGATGCTCGTGAACCCAGACGACTTCACAGAGGCCAGACTCTTCAGAGCCAAGGGGCAAAATTCCTATTGGACAAAACATGACAATTTATTAATGGTTTCTTTTGATTTTCAACAAGCTACAGGCAATAAAGCGCATGTGTAAAAAATAAAAAATCTTGGCACTAGACATGGGTGCCAGATCATGCATATAGCTGAACAGTAACCGAACTGACAGGAGGCGGGACTCACCATACTGGACAATATCCTCCCAACAATTGGTGCCTGAACAACCTATCACTTGACATGAGCATGGACAGGCAAGGAGCAAGAGTCATGACTAAGGCCGATCAAGCACTATACAATCTGATATGGAATACAAGGGCCTGCCTGATTTCATACTAATTGAATGGGTTGTTTAGATTGGTCTTCATATTGCAGAGCTTTGGTAAAGCTAAAACAAAGATTGTAAAATCAGTATAGTGTATGACCAGCTTAAAGAAGAACTCCAGGAAAACTTTTTCTTAACCCTTGCAGTGGGACTACCTCAACACTACAAGGGTTAAGTGCTCGTTTTTGCCTAGGTGCTAAAATAACAAAGGTATACTCACCGAAGATCCGAGCTGTCCAGCTTCACAGTGCTCCCTCCAGCCTCTCTCCTCCTCTGCTGCAGAATTGGAATGTTACTAGGCTTCCTCAAGTCAATACACTGTGTATAGATGTAATGATGTACTGGACATTAGACCGCTGCAGGGGAGGGGGAGAAAGACTCTAGGGACTGGTCTAAGAAGGAACAGGCTTGGAGCATTGGGTGAGTATAACTTTTTTGTTTTCTGAATCTAGACAAAAACAAGCAGTTAACTCTTGTGGTGGTGTCATCTGAACTGGAACTTCTACCGGCTGTGGTGTCATCTTTAAAAGGAAACAGTGTCCCAAACCCCAGGAATGCATGATCATAAACTTGCACTATAAAACTACAAAGCAAATTAAATATACTGAGTGATATGCCCAGTATCTGCTCTTACCTGCAGCCTCATCATCGGGGTGAAAGAAAGACACCTTGGATCCCACTAAAATAAGTAAATAAGATTTGTAGAATTACACGTTTGCTGTGCCATGCACTCTATTAGTTATGTATTAAAGCCCAAGTCCAAACAATATTTTTTTTGCATATGGATAAAGTGAAGAAGGGTTAGAACCTCCAACTGGTATTTAATGTTAGGTGTGTCCATTTTGGAGTGATCTCTCATCATTTTTTGTCCTGTTGACCACAAGGGAAGTGAGAAACCAATGGGCACAGAAAAAAAAAAAGAAACAACATTCTGACAGATATTCTAATCCTTTCCCTCATTACTAAATAAAAAAAAAAGTACTTTTATTGCTGCCAGTGTCCCCATTAGAAAGATCTGCCCTCATTCCTGCCTGGTGATGTCCCAGGAAGTAAGAGGAATTCTTGCTAACAGGGACACCAAACCAAAAAGTGATGGCAAATCCATAATTTGTTGGTTTCACTCAAACACAAAATCCTCCGGTGCCGACAACTGTCTAAGAGGGAATTTGTTCTTATTTTGAAGAGATTCTTCTCACTTCTAGTTGTGTTTCTGGGACAGGAAGTAAATCTTTCCAACAGCAAAAAAATATATATGTTCCTTGTTGTCTGTAATAGAGCACCACGGGGAAAAAAGTTTCATTGCAATATAAATTAGTAAAATAAATAAAAATGTGTTATATATTTGTCATCACTCACCTTCTAGGATTGTGCCAGCTACTTCTCTTCCTACTGCTACAAACTCTCTCTCTGGATAAAATTTGGAAATGAGCTAATATGGAGACAAAATAAAGGAGTTTTTGCACTGATATTAAAGTGTACCTGTGCTAAACTGTAAGGCACTGAACCAGCAGGAGAAATTATTTGCAAGAACTTCTAGGTGTCTTCACTTACCTATAGAGCGAGCACCTTGGGAGCTACAAAACTCAGTGCTTATTATTGTGCAAATACCTAATTCAACTAGGACATCAGCACTTTGACTCAAACAATGCCAACTTCCATCTTTAAGCAATGGCCTAATGGTAATTGGAGGGAGGCTCATCCTGCTACAAGGTACCGTATGTACTTGAACGGTCTTACTTTTGGCTATAGAGAGGAAAGTAATTCTTAATGATTAAAATGCCTTCATTGAGGTCATGGAACAAACATATCGCAGAAAAAGTTGCAACATTCCTGGGCCACTAAGGGTCCCTTCACCAGGCTACAGGTTTCCTGATGAAGGAACCCTATGTGGCCCAAAAAAAATAGTAAAGGCATTTTAATCGTGAAGAAGATGGTGTGCTTGTGACTTTCCTCTATGCTCAGAACTATGATCATTCCGGAACCTACTGAAGAATAACAAAAAGAGGATATACTGTACCAGTCTGGTGTGCGATGGGCTACCTTCATGGATTACTTTTGGCTATAGAGCTGCAAGAGGTTGGGGGAATGGAAAAGCATACATTTTCTGGGTTTTAAAACACACCTATACCTACTAAAAATATCCTACCCATTAAAAATAGGCTGCCAAGATGTATTGACATTGGAGGATTGCACAAGTTGTTTTTTTCTGCATTGTTCAATTCCTATTCAAAACTCAATAAAAAATCTATTTGTTTAAAAAATAGGCTGCCAAATCAACTGCTGAAGATGCTCTACGCATGCTCACACACTGGACAAAATGGTAGCCAATTTCAAACCATTACAGTTCAGATACATATTCTCCCTTGGTAAGCCCTGATGAAGGGGGTATTACTATGAACCCCTAAAATGCGTTAGCTATTTCTATACTGTCCCCTCAACCCGATATGGAATAAAGATCTTTTTAGCACTGGAAAGAAGTGGAATAAAAGCGCTGGGCCGGCAGGATTTGTCCTATTGGTGTGGCAGGCCAATTAGAATGTGAAAGAGTCAATATAGGTAATTTGACTACCGGACATGCAGCTTCTACATTCCAGAGCATTGCATTAAAGTGCCACACTCCGTTCAATAGTCAAGAAATACATCTTTTACCTTCTTCTGCTCCCTTCACAAAACTTCCAATAAGACATTTCAAACACGAGGGGGCAGAACCAGGCTACATTCAGTTAGCAGTTACCCAATTCTTCCACTTCGGAGCTGCGGTGGGAAGAGGGATCTGTGCAAGGAAAAAACACTGACTGGATGCCTCCTCCCGAACAGCAAATTATTGTCTGCTGCCCCTCAGATGGGCAGAGCTGGGAACCCAGGAACAGGTCATACTATCAGATCCCTCAAGAGACACAAGTATTCTGCGGATGATTCAATCATTCAACCTTCCAACAGTTATGCAAAACTGAAATATCATCCTAAGGTAGCTTGACCCTTTCAACACCAAGTAGTTACCTTTGTATTAATTGGACTCAAGGCACAAGCTTTCACCTGCAGCTTCACATGATAATCACTAGGCGGCAAGACTGGTTCCTGAGTTAAAAAAATAATAATACAAATAAACAAAACAGGAATGTAATGTCAGTTTAATGAACAATTAAAATAAAAACAAAAATCGGTGCCCAAATAAGGTCGAAATAAAAAAAAAGAAGGGGAACAGCTTTTACTGCAGTACTCATCTTTAATATGAGCGTTCTCCCATAGTACAGCCACAATATGTGGCTGGCTGAATGATGCCCAGTCATTCAACCTACTTCCTATAAGCCCAAGCCATCAAGGACCCACCCTCTAGAGCAGCGGTCGCCAACCTTTAGGACATCATGGACCACTAAATTCATAATTTTAAATCCTGCGGACCACTAATATGATTTAAAAAAAAATTATATATATATATATATTCTCATATTTTCTGTTTCCTCATATATAAATATAGTCTCATATGTGTGTGTGTGTGTGTGGAGATTTGTCTATTCTTGCTCTTTAAATTTTTTTTTAGATCAGCCTAGAGACTGAACAAAATAAAAGTCCATTAGCATATGGCCATGCTCATTCTGACTCACCCAGACAACCCCGAGATGCGCTGCACATTTTAACTACAGTCTTGGGGTGGGCTGAGCTGTACCTTTAAATGTGCACGGATAAGACTAACACCAACCATTTGCCCAGTTTGAAAAGGGAAGGATGTGGAATAATTGCTTGTGGCTATAATAAAGATGTCACCTTTTCTTGAAATATGAACTTCTCTTCATCTTGTTTTGCAGTTATTTGATAGTATAATCCCTTCATGATGACCTGTACACATAAAGAGAAGATTAGAAAAGGGGCTAAGGCTGCAACTAACGATTATTTTCATAATTGATTCGTTTGCTGATTTTTTTTTCAATTAATTAAACGGATAATAAACAAAAATTAAACGCCATCTTTAATTTAAAATAAAATACACAAATAGAGTGTCACAAAAATAAAGTTTACTTCAGAATAAAACTGCATGCACAATTATTTGCAATCGCACTGCACTGGAATGCACAGCATTGTGGTATCGCACGTTCCAATGCAGGTGATCGCACTGCAGGTGGGAGGAGTGTTTGCACGCATTTCTGGGGGGGCGGGGGACTTTACTTTTTCTTTCGTATTTTTAAATTTGATTTACTTTTATTTTTTAAACTTTTTTGTTAACTTTATTGCTATCACATGGTGGGGCTCAAAAGCCCCCTATGTGATAGCACATTGGAGATGACAGGTTCTCTTTAAGGTGACATTAGGGGTCTAGGAGACTCCTCAGGTCACCTTTTCAATCTAAGGAGCTATTCAAGCACACATGGCTTGAATAGCTTTGGCCAGGGAATGTAAACACAGCAGGTAGTGTGTGTGTGCAATAGCCAATTTGAAATTGCACCTGCCCACTGTCTGCTGTCAATCAGCAGAGGAGGGACCTGAAAGAGAAAGTTCTCCTTCAGGTCCTCCTCTGCTGATTGACAGCAGGCAGTGGGTGGGTGCAAAAGCCAGCCTGCTTTTGGCTTTTTTAAATTGCAATAGCCAATAGCAAACTGGCTATTGCACACACCCACTGCCTCCAAGCCTCTCCATCCCCTCCACCTGACCTGCTCCCCCTCTCTTGGGCCCCTGCACCTGACAGTCTGTGTCTTCTTTGATGCCCACTGCTTCTGCCGATACAGGCGGGGGAGTGCAGCGGGATCGGAGGTGACAGACTGCAGTGGGGAGGAGAATGGCAGACTCAGTGGTGTCGGAGGCTGAGATGGGGAAAAAACGGCTGAACAAAACGGCGGAGGAGCGAAGGGCGAACGGCTGAGCAGTGTGGCGGTGGAGAACGGCTGAGCAGTGTGGCGGTGCGGGGAAGGAATGGCTGACCAGAGCGGCAGCAGCGTGGGTAGGGAGAGAACGGCTAAACAGAGTGGAGGCGGCAAGAGGAGGGGGAGAACGGTAGAACAGACTGGCGGCAGCAGCACGAGGGGGGGCAGCTGAACTGATTCAACTCATTCTACGACCACGATTCTCATTATCGATTAGTTGTTGCAGACTTAATAGGGGCCCATTCAAACTAGCAGCCGCGGGTGTCCGGCTCAGTGCTGATGCGCTGATCACGATGCATCAGTTTTCTTTTTTTTGTTAGAACTTTATTGAAATATCACAAGTGACATTTCAGTAAGTCCTATGGGTATAGCGCAGTGCGATGCAGCTGTACCTCAATTGCAAAAAAAATTGTGCATTCGCTAGTTTTTTTGCGATCACACTGCACTGGAATGCAAGGCATTGCTGTACCACGTGTTCCACTGTGGGTAATCGCACTGAGGGTGGAAGGCAAGTCTGAGGTGCCATTGAAAAGAATGGCACCGCCACACCCCCCCTCCCATCCCAGAAAGCTGGCAGGCTTTGATTATGCGATCCAGTGCGTTCATGAAAAGGAGTGAACGGGCCCTCAAAGAATCTGCAGGAGCCAGAGCCAGGAACACTGAAGGCAATGTTATACTAGCTTCAATGCAAAAAAAGCAAAAGAAAAATTATAATACATTTTTCTTTTATGAAGTGTACATTTGTTTTGTTCTTCTAAAAGGTGGACTTTGCCTTTAAAGGAAGATGGTTGTTACAATGGATGGTTTGGTGACAGGGTCTCTTTAACATACCGGTATCTCTACCAAATGCTCTGTCATAAGCCACTGCAGATGTAAAGATTGGTAAGGATCAAACTTTCATCCTCCAGCTGTCACTTTTCCAGAGCAGTTTGTAGCTGAATGGTGTCTCTGGAACAACTGTCAGTTCTTACCAAAGGCAAACTATAAGAATGCAATGTGTCACCAATGCAGCCTTTAAAAAAATACATTTATCTGAGCAATCTACAAAGTACAGTAGAGTGCATTAATAATACTCATCTTAGCCAATCAGATTTCAGCGTTCACTGTAACGCTCACCCTAATGTGCTGAAAACTGACCAATGCCAAGGGTGGGTGCACATCACACTATGCTCCAAAGTAATGACACCGTGACGACTGATGTCCTGCTAGGTCTCTCGGATAAGGAAATGCAAAATGCAGAAATGAAAAAAATAAATGCTGCATCAGCAGGAGAGAAACAACACAAACAGGAACCTCGGCCAACCTCCTTTCCTACTGTACCTCTGTGACCCAGGCCCAGCCTCTCCTATCCCTGGAGCGGAATGAATGAGACCTTCCTGTTTCTGCTGTTGGGCTGTGCTAAAGGGGGAGGAGCTACACAGAGGAGGGGGGCTGGAACACATATTAACCCATCACTGCCATAACAGCAATCGTGTACTGCTGCAGGGAGCAGACATGTCCTAACTGAATTAACAGAGAAGAAACAACATTGCATATATATATATATATATATATAGTATATGTATTTGTGTTACTTTGTTGCAAATACTGTAACTTTCACAGCCATTTTGCAAAGCATTTTTAGGCTCCATTGACACAGGAACGGTTGTCCGTACGAATACGGGCAGAGCCACTCTAACCTTAAAAAACAATGCACTTTAATGTGCATTGTTCAGACTTTTTCGGCGGCTGTGTGGCCCACAAAGTAGTGCAGGTACGTTTTTTGGGGAGGATTCCGCACGTTTGCAGCTATATAATCCTCCATTCACATATAGCGTTTCCCACGGAGGGAGGGCTTAAAAGTGCATTGTTTTTTCTGTTTATTGTTATTGTTATTATTATACAGGATTTATATAGTGCCATCAGTTTGCGCAGCGCTTTGTTTAGAGTGGCTCCGCGCATATTCGGCCGGGCGAATACGTGCAGATAACTGCTCCAGTGTGACTGGAGCCTTATAGCCACAAATGAGCAGAATCCGTGCAGTCGTTAAAATTATAGCATTTAGGTCCAGTGCGGTCTTCTGCACGGAAAACCGCGCATGAAAAGCAAACGCTATGTGTGAATTGAGCCTCAGCGTCTGTTCACAACATTTGCATCAAGCACATTGGTAAGATGTGTTAAAGAATGCACCTACAAACGTGCAGCAATGCACTAACGCATGCGAAAAAACTTTTGGGTCCCATAGACTACAATGGGAAGCTTTGTGTCACAAAACGCACAGCAAAATGCTTGGGTGTTAACTGGGGCCATAGAAATGAATGGGATTCCTTGTCTTCAGCATTTTGTTGCGCTTAGCTTTGAGCTACAAAACTCCTAGCCTCAGGGCTCGTTCACACCATCTCTGTTGAGCTGCATTGATCAACGCAGGCTCTGCGCAAGGACACTATTCTTGTCTATGTGCCCTGTTCACAACTTAGTTGCGTTGTGGGGTGCTGCATAAAAAAGAAGCACAACGCACCACAATCCATTATTACAGCACATGGCAGTGGAGAGCAACGCACTGTTATGGATTTGGGTGAGCGGAGTTGTTTGTTTATGTTCAATAAAGTTTAGAAAAATGTAAACACTATGATAAGCTGTCTGTCCCACCTGTCCCAGATTCAACTGGACAGTCCGGGTTTTGAGTCCTGTATGTGCTGTGTCTGGGTTTCAGGCCAGCTGAAACCCAGACACAGCACATACAGGACTCAAAACCCGGACTGTCCAGGTGAATCCGGGACAGGTAGCAACCCTAGTTACAATGCCAACGAAATGCCGTGTGGGCGTGTTCTAGGAGTTTAGGGCCTGTGCACGCCTGTGTGTTGCAGTAACATGCGTTTTATGTGTGTCGCACGGAGATTGCCTTAAGAAGCCCGTTAATTTTGAATGGCACAAAACAAAGATGCTGTATACCACAATTTTCGTTTTTGCATATAGGCGCACCGACGCGTGTTTGCGTATGTGTGTGGGGGGCGGGGGACTTTAAAACATTTTTTTTCCTTATATGTTTATATATATGTTACTTTTTTTTATTTTTTTAAACTTTTTATTTATACTAACCCTATTGCTTATTGCTATCACATAGGGGGATAACAAGCCCCCTATGTAATAGCAGATAGGGTGTGACAGGTCCTCTTTATGGAGACATCAGGGGTCTTTCAGACCCCTAATGTCACCTAGGGACCCCAAAGAAGCCGATGGAGCAGAGATCTGCTTCCGCAGCTTCATCTCCTGGCTCTAAGAGTCGGAGAATGTTAATAGTGACACCGGATGTGATGTAATACACATCACTTCCGGGGCCAATGATCGGAGGAGAGATCAGCGGCTGGAAGCTGCTGTATCTCTCTCCGAACGTTGTGGGGAGACCCGCTGCGTCGGTCCGGGCCCCCATACACGGGGGACAGTGGAGCCCGGGGAAGCCTGCGGAGGGGGTGGGGGCAGCACATGCCGGCGATCGGTACAAACGATCTGGTGGCTCTATAGCCGCCAGATCGCTTGTACATGAACAGCCATGGCCGGCTGTTAAAAATGACACCAAGAAAACGGCTGCAGCAGCAACTGAAGCCAAAACTAGTTCCGATGACCCCCAAGGATTCCCCTCACTTTGGAGGGATTTCTTGTCACTTCCCGTTGTGGCTATTAGACAGGAAGTGAAGGAAAATCTTCCCAATGCAGCACCAATGGGTAAAAAAAAAGCTGACAGGGGTTATAACCGTCCCTTACTCTATCCAAAACTTTTAAAAAAACCTTCTATAGCCATAGATGTACTTTCAGTTGTCGCCTCCCCCCCACCCCCCCCT